ATGTCTTCAGAAACTAAGTCTGAGTTAATCGAATAAAGTAAACATATGAACAGGCAATATACACAGCTCCGGCAGTAGAGAATGTCAGTATATGATCAAACGCTAGGTTCGAAGGAGTATAAATCAATGAATAGTCGTCATTCTTAAACTTTTCACAGCTAAATCTTATTTGTGAAATTAGAGAAAAATATACTGTGCATAATTATTGGATGTTTTATAGAGTCCTATAAAAACAAAATAAATCCTATACGTATAGTGAACGTAGAAAGTATAAATTTCAAACAAATCTGGTACAATTATTGTTTATTGATTGATTTTTATAAAGGAATGTTTATTTGCAATACTCTGCAGAATAGATATCATAAAAAAATATCACTTGTTTCTGGATTTTATCTAATCAATCGAATAACAATCCAACCAGTATTGGTTGATTTTTCGTGGACGTCTAGTTGACTCTATACTTTTTAATCCATACCCATCAAATATGCTTTGTATAGTAGATTTTGGTGTGTTAATAATTTATTAAATGAACTTTTATATTGGTTATATAAATTAACAATAATTTTTTTTTTTATTGTTTCGCACGTTTTCGATCCATTAGTCAACAATTATAAATTCTAAATAATGTAAAATTGTAGATTTTTAGTGAAGGCGATAATATTTCCCAGTATACTGAAAATAATGAATCATTCTTAGGAAGTGATTTTTAAATTATTAACCTTGGCTGATAAACGTAAGAAATTTCTGTATCAAGTTTGACATTAGAACTGTATCAATACGTTGATTTTTTTAATTTTTCTCGTTAATTTCTTGATATTTCTTTTTATGATATCTATTTTGCCGAACATGTACATAGCTTTTGCAAAAGTTAGTCAATAAACGATAATTGCGCCAAGATTTGTTTGAAATTCATAATTGTACGAATACTTTCTAATGAAAATAGGAGAGAAACGGAGATATTTACCATGTAACTTCTCTCGCGAATACTTGAAACTTGCAAAAGAGATGCGATCAAGGAATTAGCTGTTGATTCGACAAGCATGTATTTACTTCTACAAAAGTTTGCCAAGCATTTCTCCGAATGTGTACGCGTACGTACGCAAGTATCTCGCGAATAAAAATTCCACGAAAATCTGCTCGACCTGATCTGTTCTATAAGAAAATCGTTCGTTGCCACGGTGTCGAGTGGAATTCGATTTCGACATCTGGCTTTCGTCGCCACGAGTATCGAGGGAGACTTTCTCGCTTCTCGACGCTTCGTGTACACAACCTAGATTTTCTGTCATTCCTTTTCTCCGTCCCTTCCTTCTCCTTTTTTTTTTCTTTTTTTTTCTCTTTTTTTTTCTTGAAAACTTGAACGGAGCACCTGCTACGGTATCGGTTTAACGGTGGAACCTCGTAAAATATTCTGAAATATTCCTGCACCGGTGGGTACCGCTGTTCGAAAGAAGAGAAATGCGATCGGAAAAAGAAGGAAGCACGAGATACGTGAAAAAGGGGTATGCTAGGAAATAAGAAGAAAAGGCAGGTCGGAGCTGCCGGGGGAAAATATGGGATTTAAAATATGAGAATCAATCGAAAGAACCGCGTTATCGCGACCGACGCAACGGGATTTCAGCCGTATCTTCGCCACCGATCGTGAACCAAATTGCACGAAGGATCGTGACCGGACAATCAACAAAAATTCAATCGACATGATTGAAATGTAAGTTTTCATTGAAAAAGATCGCACCTCGGATATTGCAAAACGTTATTTAAAAAACAAAAATTACCGACAAAAATTGAATCGACACGATTAAAATGTAAATTGTTATGGAGAGAAGGATTGCGGTTTCGGAGTCAAAGATTGCAAAAATGCTATTTAAAAGATTTACCCGATAAAACAACGAACGTCTTTTCTGGATTTTTGATCTGTCGATTTAAAGTATTTCGCACGAATGTGAAGAGAGAAAGAGACCAGAAGAAAGAGGTCGAGAAAAAGAGAAAGAAAGACGAGCAATTTGTCTAAAAGTAGTCAGAAAGGTGGGGACGAGGAGAGCTGTGGCCGAGTTATTTGTTATCAAGGTGGAAATAATGACTTTCATTGTCAAAACCGATGCGTTGTTCCTACAAATTTCAATCTTGCTGATAATTAAACTTAACAGTATTATGAATTGAGGAAAAATTTGCTCATCAAAGAATCAATCGTTATTGAGAAAATTAAAACGCAGTTTGTATGTTCAAGTCGCTTTTCTGAATTTGAGACTTTGAATTTCTTTCAACTTTGAATTCGAACTTGAGAGTAATTCTGTATTATATGTGTATTGCTCTAAAAACAGTGTACAGAATGTTGGAATACGACTTGACCATCCAGCAGTGTAAGGCTGGAAAATGGCTTTATAAGGGGCAAAGTTAACATCTGTTTTCTATCCTCTGCTCACTATTCTCCACAGTTACGGACAGGACCATGCCGAACAGAAAGTTTAGTTCTTTGCCAGTCCTTGCCGCGTGACTACCTCATTTTTGTATCGCATATACTACTTGATTGTTAATATTTCATTAAATAAAGACATTAGTTTCTTTTCACACGGAAGTTTGTGTTATATTTTCACCACATTTCCTACACAGAATATTCGCACACTCGATGAAAGATTGTCTACATTTTATATTGTTATAGTAATATTGTTATAGTAACAATTTAGTTGGTTTCATTTTAAAGTGCGAAGTCTTCACTTTATCTTACGTTATTTTTTTTTTCAAAGATGCTTCTACATCGCGTGGCAAGGATACTTTTGTCTCTGAAAATTGTAAAAATTCAAATGCCTCTGAAAACCATAGAAAAATTTTTTTCATGACTAAATCAACAACGGTTTTTAAAATCTTTTTTTGAAACTTGCTCTACGATTCTTTTCTTCGCCATTTTATTGAACTTCAAGCATTCGAGCTAAACGACAGAATACCAAGATTTCTTGAATTTTTGTCTATAATTTTAACTCTAATGTACAAAGTTTAATAAAATGGTGAAGAAGAAGATTGTACAACGGTTGAAATTGATGTAAAAGAAAGATTTTAATCTTCAAAATTATGGTAGCTCTGGTGACGAAATAATTTTTTTCTACTTTAGAAGGTGTTTAAATTTTTGTAATTTTCAATAACAAAAGTATCCATGCTTTCCTATTTGCTGTATGATATAAAAACATCTTTGGAAACTTAAGAGCGATAATGTAGAAGGTCTTACACTGTAAAATGGGGCGAATCACATTGTTGATTTTGTTTCACGAAGTTCAAACACGGATGGATAAATATATTATTATATTTATATTGTATATTATTATATATTATTACAATATAATTTTTATATTAGTAAATTTAGTAAAATTATATATTATAATTTTATATAGTGCGATATACTTTTTATATTGTCTTTAAGAACAGCGCCTCTCTAAAATTAAAATTGAGATCACAAATCCGCAGAACCGCTCTCGAAAGCTTGAATTATTGAATTTTGAGTATAAATAGCAATCCCATGTTTGTCACAGAGTGCTATTTTCATTTGAAAGAATATTCCGATATATAAATGTCAAAAGTGTCATTTATACCGGTGCAACGAAAATATTCTTCGTCAATCAAATACAATTTGACAAATCGGTCATGAATTTTTTACCGATCGATTAAGAACGCAAATGAAGATTCCTCGCTCGTTTAACCGTGATTCAATTACAGCGTTAAAGCTTGCGCAGAAATTGAATTCACAGTACAAAAGGAGTAACTTTGAAAATAGATTGGAAACTTTCAGCAAAATCAGCTTAGAAGACTGTGGCCTGTTTTTCTCTGTAATCCATTGAACAACACTTGCGTGGAAGTTTATTCTGTTCTCTCTTCTTGGTGTTTGATATTTACCCCCTCTTCCTTCATCTAACGCAATATGGCTTTAGAAGACAAGCACACGTACGCGTTCATTTTCCTAATCCTGGGAGTACTTTTGTATTTTTTACGTAGGTTGTACGAGGGTGTTTCAAAATTAGCGTGATTCTACACGCTTGTCACGATCATAGTCATAATTAATACTTAATTCAATTAATTAATATTTAATTCACTATTAAATCCTCTTTCAAATTAATATTAAAATTAATTATCTAAAGATTAAATCCTTTATAATTCAATTATTCTTAAATATACTACATTTTGATTTGAAACATTATTTTGCAAAATTTTTACCTAAAATTCGTTTTCATTTATAAATTTTAATAACAATACATAAATACAATTTAAGTAAATCTTATCATGGATTATCAAATTAAATAACAAATTTCCCTAAAAAAGATTAAAAGATTAATTTTGAAACATCCTGTACGTTACAAATTGCCTTCACGAGGGTTACGAACGTTCAAAGAATCATTATATATTATACACGTACATACATGCATATATATATAAAACAATATCTGGAATTTTTAAAATCCAATGGTTCGTGGTATTACTCTCAGTCAGTGGATTCTCTTTCCCTCAATTGCTTCGTGTATGCCGTCTGGCAAACGGAAATTAAATGAATAGCCAGTCAACTCACTTCTCTGGCGAGAAATGAAAATTGAACAGCCGTGGATGAACGACGAGAAAGAAGAGAAAGTATCTAATGGAGTACCGATATAGAACAAAGCGAAAGTGCGAAAATAAAAATGATTGAAGGAAGGGGAGCATTGAAACGCGAGGTATCTGGGAAACCGTAAGGTTGTTGACAAATCCAGGTTAAAGCTTTCAGCGTATGACTTCCGAGCGTCGCGATATTTCGCGAATGTATAAAAAATGAATGCACTCTGGCGAATATAGCAACGGATAAACGAACAAGCAGAGCGGGTCGCGGACGAAGGGAGCATCCGCGTTTCCCCGCCTCTGGCGGTGTCGTATATCGGTATGAAACTAATTTCGACCCTGCATGAATTACATCACGCCGGGCGGGGCGCGCCTATCTTAGAAATACTTTTCTGGGTCAATCGCCTCCAAGTTAACTTGTATTACGTAACGACATTTACGGTTCCAGCGCCAGGTTCGGTAATTTTGCAGGGCAAATTCGCGGTGCTTCCGCTTTGTGCGAGAACTTCCCTGATGGGACCCTCGATGACATCTTCGCTTTTATCCTCGGAGCTCTTTGACGACGCCACTTCGTTGCTGATGCTCAACGATTGTCGATGCTCCGCCTGGCTCCCTGCAAGTAATCAGAATTACGTTACAGATTAAAATCTACGAAACGTTTCGTCAGTCGGGAAACAGTCACAAAGTAGAATTCTACGATTCACAAGAACCGGCCAAGAACAACAGAATTTTTAACGAAGAAAATCAGTAACTGTACATTTGCGAAATTATTTGCGTTGAGAGTATTAATCTCGGAGGGTAAAGAACATTTTTTTTTTTTTTTTTTTTTTCAAAAAACTACGTGATTAACAAATTTTGTTTCAATTACAAATGACAGTTATAAATGGCTGAGAATTTTCTCCGTTGCCTATATATAATCCATTATTGACGAGGAGAAATTCTCTTGCAGTAGTTATCGATGAGGAAAAAATTTATTTGCGATCGCTTATAATAGTTTCGACGAGAAAAATTCCATTTCAGCCGTTTATAACGAAATAATTTGTAAAATTTTGCATTCCTTTGCCATCGTATTAAAATAGTTTAAAAACCATCGAGTTGCTTTCTGACATAAATCTCGCGGAAATTAACGAAGAAATTAAGCCGATGTAAATTTCTCTCGTCGATAATGGTTTCTGTTGAAACTTGCAATCGTTATTTGCAATCAAAATCGTTTCAATTAAAAAACTCATTGTTATCCTATGGCTTTACTCTTCACTCTGGTTGTAATTAATAGTTGTTACATCATCGTGGATGCTTTTATATGTAATGTGTATATTATTCGAAGAGAAAGACAGGAAGGAAGAAAAAAAAGGATGACATTAGCCGAATCGTTATTGGGGATATTTAATTGCAAATTTTACGTCGTGATTGAATCCTCTGTGCAATTTTATCACTATTATGTGTAGTAGTAGATAAAGATGGGATCAATCATGTACTAATTGTAATCGATACTATACAAACAACGTTCGAACCTGTGAAAGCAAAATGTTGTTTGAAATAATCGAATTCTCGTTAATTATAGGTGAATCTTCTATGAATACTTTAACAAATAGCCATATTTAAATTATTATTACGTTTTTTAATCCGTAATACGAGTAAATACGTGAGAAATGAGAAATTGTTAAGTTAACGTAATTATTAAAAATGGTCTAATAATATTATATTTTAGTTGTATCTTATATATGTAATTATTACATTACATTTATCTATAATTACAGTTATTATTGGCATAACTATTCAAAAGAAGTAATTGAAGTTTCCTTCAATCTGTTTCTCTTTTCGTTCGTAATGTTTCCTGCCTTTGAGAACATTCTCTCAGAAAGAACACCAATATTGCATAATATCTGTGTATTGTTTACAATCATATATTAATTTCTGATAAAGCAATGTAGGATTCAAATTTTTAAACCAGAATGAAAGTGATAGTGCTCTGTACGATTTATATACGCTGTCATTAAATAGATTTCAATCTCGATATAAATTGCTGACGAATTATATGCACTTTCGCTTGAAACTACGAGGTAATAGAAAAGAGAAGAATGATTCGATGACAAAATAATATTTATGTAAATATAAATTAAATAATATAAATATAATAATAAAATTAAAAAATATTTGTAGCAAAAAATGAATGGAACAATACATGGAAAACAACTAAAAGCACCCAACTACACAAAAGTCCAAGACTTTCACCAAACCTTGCCAACAGGAAAGAAGGAATAATTATCTCATAAGAGCCTAAGAACCAGTCATACCAAGCTGACACATGAACACAAAATCAAAAAAACTACACCACCCACCTGCACTCATTGCAATAACCATCCACTAACAATAACCCAAAAACAGAAATACAGAATCAACGCAAACATAAACTTGACTTCTCAAAATGACATACAAAGAGTATTAAAATCTCAAAAACATAAACTACTACACACATATCTAATGGCACCGCCGTCGATGCGACGTTAAAGAAAAATAGAAGAAGAAGAAGAAGAAGAATATTTACAAAGTACAAATACATTAATACGAATACATTAATACATTAATACAAATACGAATATTTACATAAGTACAAATACGTGCTAGTTTCGAAACCAAGGTCTCAAATACCAGCGTGTACATTCCAAATACTTTACAAGTACGTACAATTGAACATTGTCTCTTGCAAGTCTCAGTCATATCCTAGGTGAACTTTTTGAAGTGGATTTCACTTGAATTTCGTGAATACATGTTGAATTTGATCCCATCACTACTTATATCATAGATAACAAAACAGTAACGTTCATTTCCGAATGTCAGACCGTATCACGTATCGAAGTTTGTTCTATTCAATAGTTTTTGCTCGGTGAAACAATCGTGTAAACTCGAGCGAGATAATTGAAAGTGGAAAGAAATTTCTATCAACTCGGATTAATATTTTGGAGGAGGCCGAGAGGCGCAAAACTATAACGCGGGCATCGAGGTTGCGAAAGCTTAAAAGCTCAAAGGCCTAAGGAAGGATAGCACGGGAGATTAAGGACGATTTTCACGCTACTTCGTTGGCAAGGGGCACAATAACGTCAGCGAGCGAGAGCGCAGCGAGCTCCAGAGTGGAAAGCGAAACGGAATTCTCTCTCGCTTCGAGATTAATGCAGCCACCGTTGCTACGATAACGCATAACCTCGGTGCAGCGTAAGTGGCTTAAGTGAATAACTTAGTCACGACAATTACGAAGCATTGCTCCGCGTTTGCAGCAGCAGAGCTATTACAAATCTACCGGCTTTCCGTTGGAATTCACTTCGAAAACACTTAACTGTCCTACGTGGGCTTCTTCGTACTCTTTAATTGCGTTTACATTTACGCAAATCGCGTGCACTCGGGCTTCCGTTTTTCGCCGAAACGAATACATTTCAAGCATCGAACCGATTCGCCGATTTCGAAGCACTTGTTAATTTTTCAAACATCCGTGTCTATTTATTTCTCGCGGACTCGCGATGTTTAGAACGCAAACGCGAAAATTCACTCGGCGTATGACGAGATTTCCGTGGGCACATACGCGATCGTTTAGCCGTAGCGTAACGAGCCCCTATTTCACTCGCATACTTGATTCGTGTGTACGATGAAAACGCCGGCAATTAGCTCTCGTTACGTTGCTCGAGACTCGTTCGACGGTTCGTTAAACCTGACCTGTTTTCCTGAGTCCGCGAATCGTCTTGCTCCCGAATTGCGATCAAAGACTCGAGGAGATTTCGTCGTGTGGCTGAGGGAAATGGCACGCGTGCACGCGATCGTAGATCGACCCGACCGGACCGCTCGACTCGACGATTTTCTTACCGGCTTCGTTACACAGTTCTGTTCTTTCCTCCGACCGGTTCGCCCTAGATTCCAGCGACTTGCCTGAGAGTCACCGCGATTTACTGCTTTTTCCCTTTCCATTTCCATCACTTCCTCGTCATTTTTCTTTGATCCCAATAGAAACGTGTGAATTCCAATTGAAAAGAAGGGAAAATATTCGTTAACGTCGATTCATTTTACGAATTTCTCTGTCGTTTGGCTAATATTCCTATGTATTTTTCATATTTAAGGGGGTATTCTGGTAATCCGACTTTTTTTGGGGATACTTAAAGAGTATTTACAATTTTTTTTTTAACGGAATTAATGAAAGTTGTGGAAATTATGGCCTTAAGTGAAGCATGTTTTTAAGAATTCGAATGGCTAACGTGATTTTCGGTCCATCTGGTTATTTGAAACTAAAAAACCAAATGCATCTTAATTAGTATAAATATGGCTATCGCATGAACTACGGAAATTTCGAAAATTAGAAAAATCGCAGCATTTTGAAGTTTAAATATCGATTTTTTTTGTGCTTTTCGTCTTTTGAATGGCAAAAAAAAAAAAGAAAAAACATCATCCGGTAAAGATCTCCTTCAAATGTCAATCGGTCAACTAAAACGTGAGATCCCCATCAACTAGTTTAAAAAATATGGATTTGAGAAAAACATATTTGAAGTTACTGTAACCCGTTGTACAAAACTATTCATACTTAAAATCAATCGAGCAGTACAAAAAATAGAATATTATAAACTAATAATAATACAAAAATAAATAATAATATAAGTAATACTATTATAAAGTAAAATATTTTTTGAGAAAAACACATTTGAAGTTTTTGTTATCCGTTGTACAAAAATATTCAAACTTACGAACAGTATCCGTTTCCTTTAATAATTTATAACTTTGCTAATTTTACGAGTTCAAATAAATCCTTTTACAGAAACATTTTCGAAAGCATATACTTTGAGAAAATGTAAAAAAAATTGATTTCTTTTAAGCCGCATTACTAGAATACCCCCTTAAAAGAAGGGGCAGCGCAGGCACTGCAGCAACTCCAATTTTTCTCGATATATTTATTAATTTATTTATATTTTCTTGTAATAACAATTTGCAATAATTCTCTTATTTTCTGTGAAAAGTAATAAAACTTATTTATCCACTGTATTTGCATACGTATATTTCGAAAGTTGCAGCAACAATTTCAAGCTACGAATCGCCACTGGTCGAAGAGAAATCGTTATTAAATTAGGTGGATGACAAAAGCGTATACCCATCAAAAATTTTCAATTTAATTTCAGTAAAATAATTGACGCTGCGATTATTTATATTAGTGTAACATTTTTGCAGATAAAATATTTTTCAAACGTTGTTTATCATCGTTCTATTCTGCCGCATCGTATGCTTTGTTACCGCTAGAAACTCTTTCTCCTCTGGTTTACCGGTCTTTTATAAGCTACACAGCGATAACGACGAAGTATTACCACGTAGGTGGTACAACCTATTTTGTAGCCGTACGTGTGAAAGGATAATATACGATGTTCGATAGATGTCCCAGCTATGTTTCCTTGGTCGCTAAGAAGCCAGGCTATTAAATCAAAAGAGATGGTCTACCTATGTTTTCGAAATAGGATTAACAATTGTTTGTCGTTTTTTATGAATAATAAACTTTTCTAGAGAACGATCTCGTAGGAAAAGCGTTACAGATAAATTCTCCTCTGTGTGGTTGTTTTTTTTTTTCTCCTTGTTTCACTTGTCGTTAAATGATAATTTAACTTTTAACTCGAAGAACTTAAATTGAAAGCAAAATTTAGCTTGCTAAAAATTGAAAAAGTTCATCAAATTCAATCCACCGTAATCACAGCGAGAATCGATATATCCATTTATGGTTGTGATAAAGTACGTGTAGATAACTTTCATCGATTTCTCGCTATTTATACCTACTAGCCGATAACATGTTTGAAAACACAAAATCCAGTTTATGGTGGCTGAACTCGAACACCTCGATGATAACGTATCACTGTATGGTAAAAACGTATCGCGCAGCCACTACGTTTTACGGTCTTTAAATCCTGAAAAGTTCTTCTGTCGTTAATGTTCTCTTTAAAGATTATTTGAAAATTATGCTTCTACCTGCCTGAACAATATCTACGAGAGAGTTTTAACGAGGATTTCAATTCAACCGAATTGAAATCATTTCAATTTTTACGATTGAAAATACGTAACGGTTACAAAAATTGATCTTTAATTATTTAAACTAAATATCACATTGTTACCCAAACGGAACTGCCGATTATAGATTGCTTAGTCAGAGTACAAAAATTATGATGAGAATCACGAGGACGCGTAAAAATGGAGAAGCGGCATTGTTCAATCACCAATTCCAACTATGATTGATAATAGACGAAATGAACACTTGGTCGAAATGAAAAATTTTTTTAAATGGCGCTGCTGATTTCAGCATAGTGATTCGTCAATGAGCAACTCGGTCGATCATCCAACATGTGAATGTAATTCATTGATTCATAGAAAATCGGTAAAAGTGACGGAGATAACAAAGCGGTGAAATGGTACATAATTAATTTCTTGGAATTATGTGAGGATTAGCCAATTAGGAAACTTAAAATATCAGCGCAATCAAGATTACTGTCCGTTTAATTAGATCGTTTAATTAGATTTCTTCGTAAGTAATTTATACGATTGGACATAAGCATTGGTACGATAGTTCAAAGTTAATTGTTAGAGTCGATCGAACGACGAAAACGCACTGTAATTAAAAATTTGACGAATAAAATATACGAATAAAAATAATGATTTCTTCGATCGAGAAATAGACAGTTCACGGCCGCCGGAAAGTTTCTACGGGGGCTAACGAGCCAAAACTTTGTGCGGTCATCAAGAACACGATAACCGGATATTACTTATCAGCCATCAGCTACCATAGTGAATTAAGTGTTTTCTGCGTCAGCATGGAAATGACTCGATGAAACGCGAATGTAAAAGAGCTGCTGTGTAAGCAGCACGTATTTCAATTTCCTTTTTCTCCATTCAATCGACAGTGATTATTATGAAACACTGATCTGATGACTTTGTAATATTTAATTTGATTACCGAATGGCTAGTAAACGTAAACAATTTCAATTATCTTGTTCCTATAAAAAAAAAAAAAGAATAATTGAAATAATATTGTTACTTACCAGTGAAATAAAGTTGTATTTCCAAGAAAATGCTCAGCAGGATTATGAGTGTCCTCATGATGGCAACTTCGTGATATCGTTGTTTCAAACATTCATTATATTTATCTGTAACGACAAAGAAAAGGCAAACTGAGACAATAATCGATATTTGGAATAAATTTATTTTTAAATTGATAATCGCATTATATTTAGCTTTTAATCTAAAGAGAATGTAGCGGAGATTGCAGCGGAGTTGGACATTATTTGAACAATTTCGAATAAACATTCGTCTAATATAATTATTTGAATATATATCTTCTTTAGTCGAATATTTTATTCGGATAATAATTATTCATTGTAATGTTTAATTCGAATGAATCTTCCGAGTGATAATGCAAAAAATAGTTATTTTCGTTTTAAATTTTATATGTGCATTCATACGGATACCTACGTATGCGTGTAATTGCGTACACGCGTAATGGTCAAAAAAAAAAAAAAAAAAAAATTATAAAGGTCAATGTAGAAAGAATTGCACAATAAAATTTGAAAAATATAAAAAAGATGGAAAATGTGAAAAATGTAAAAAATCACTTCATAAACTGAGTATTTTTTTTTATGTACGATACAATATATGAATAAATATAATAAAGAGATTCTTATTCGAATAAATCTTTATTTAGGCACTTGATTATTCGAATAAATACTTGTTCTATTCGATAGTGAATAAAACTTCATTTCTTATCCAAATAAAATTTTGCCCAACGCTGATTTGCAGTTCGGACATCGAAGAAAGTAATTATAAACAATAAGTATTCGATAGACCGAGTATCGTTGTACAAAAAATATATGACTTTTGGTTCCACGATACGATCGTCCCGTGATTTTGTCTCTGTTATACGCAAGTACCGCAATGTTCATGTCCCCTGTAATCGATATGGATTCAAGTAGGGGACTGTGACCCTTAGTCTTTCCTCATTCAGCTCTCTAACCTTTCGTTGTAAGTGGCCCACCTTCGTCAAGTATCTTCGACCAGAGAAAGGAGAACGGAGAAATGGATCACAAAAACTCCTTTTGCACGAAAGATTCTCAATGCTTTTACTATCTTGATTGCAAATATTTTTTATTTATTATTTGTTTCGTCGACGAGACTATCTCAATGTTCCTCTTATGAAATGAATTGCTCAAGCAAATTAGCGAATAAAATCATTTGTTTCTTAATTTTCATTGACGTTAGTAAAATAATGTTGGCAGTTGTGGCAATATTCTTAATAAATTCTTTACTTTGACAACACTTCTTAAGCTGATAAATTTTTCTCTCAAGTAAGAATCTACAAAGATTTTAATAAAAAAAATTAATGAGTTTCTGTTCCGGAAAGCTTAGTGTCCATTTTATAATGGTAAACAGTGGCGTACAAATATTTATATACTTTATACAGTAACAATATTTGTGTAATTTTTTTGAAGTTGATTTTACATCTTTTCACATCTTCTTACAAAGAAGTAGAGCATTGAAGTAATATCTACTAGCAGTGATTCGTTATACACTGGAATAATATCCTCACTTTAAAGTGTTAGTAATTTTCCATATGAAAGTAATAGAGAAGAAACAAAAATTTCGTAGTTGAGAAAGTATTTGAACACAATAGTTACCAAATTCTAATATTATTCTAAATTGATGTATTATAATATCACAATGTGAGATAATAAAAATAACTCTTAGTTGTTCCAATTACTCTCAAAAGAAGTGAAATATTTTTTTTAGATAAAAGAGTAATTATAGCTACAGGAAAAAATGATAAAATCTTAAATCTAAACATTTCTCGAACGTTCGACAATGTTTAGCATTTTCTTTTTTTTGTATCTTGTTACTTTTTACTTAGTAATTTAGCATTGATTTATCACGTATACTCTCCTGCAGCATTTATCGCAGATACGTCTCATTTTGTCCTCCATTTCTTCCATTGCAGTCTCGTTTGTGTCTGAATGTTATATTCATCTTTATGTAACAGCTTTTGTTTTATCATTCATTGAGTGTGCAAAGCTACTTCTACATGAAAAGTTATTTTTTGAAGTCACGTTGAACGACGTTACAGACGACGATAAATCGTAAATTAAAACAAGAGAGCGCCAATAAGAATCTTCTCATCTTTTGCAACCAATTCAATCTTTTATGCTCTCCGTTTCAAACAAACCTTCTTCCGAGTTTGTATCGGGGTTTTTTCTTTCCTTTTTTTAATTTTTCTTTTTCTTTTTCATATGTACACGGAACAATACGGCAACACATATTCAGTAACTCGACGAATGAAAAAATATTGCTGGAATGAAAAAGCGAATAACCGAATATCGCCGGTTTATCAGCATTTACATCATCGCGCTAGTTCTCGCGAAACAGCGCGCATTCGCGTTTCAATTTATTTCCATGTTTACCCACACTTAACTGTTCAAATGTTCCGCAAGCTGTTCATTCGCCAACTCCACGAACTTTTGAGCATGGCGCATCATTATTCCTGGGCTGGTGCCTTTCTGCAGCTCGCACATGTTGGACTCTGCCCACGTCCGATTATTATTATCGTCGCTATCGTGTAATAACTTTAACAATGAAACTGACATCTCTTCAACGCTGTTGCCGACAATTCGTAAAACATTTTCACTGTCATTTCCTGCTTTTTAAGCAGGTCGCAATTTCTGTTCCATACTCCTGCTGTCTCTCGTCCCCCCCTCCTCCCCCCGCACGTTTCATGCATATTTTTTCCTTCTGCCTCGATATTCGTAGCTCGCGGTCAATTCAAAAAAGGAATTCCATTGAATCAACGAAATAAAAGCAATTTAATTAGCGACAACGCTTTGTCCCGAGTATAATTTTTTCCAACTGTAAAAAAACTCGCCTCGTTATTGTTCGTTTAACGAGCTGCCCGGAACACACTATTTTCAACTGATTGGCCTTCCTACGCTTTTACACCGCTTCGCCTTTCTTTCTTTTCTTTTTTCTTTTTTTTTTTTTTCATTTCACTTGCACCCGTACGAAATTGATCGATGGGCGACAATTGATCTCGAGTCGTCACAGATAAACTGCACGTCCACGTTTCAATTCGCGTGCAACTTCTTCATTCGCCGTTTTCCGTTTCAATACGGGAAACGCGCGAGCTGATTTAAATGATAAATGCTGGCGAATGGCGCACCGCGCAAGAGCAACTGTCATTTCGCCGTGTTACGAGACAATGAACATTCCTGGGCCAAAGGCCAGAGCCAAACGTGCGCGGTAATTTCGATTCATGTAAAATTAAGTATACGAGGATATGCAGCGTGCGCGCGCGTTACCAAGCGAATTCCACGCGTATAGAATGGGAATGGGCGCGCTACGAGACTGAAAGGAAGGAACGAGATCCGCGATAATGATCTCAGCCGTACGGCTTCAACGGTGATAGCCGGTGCGCCGTATTTACATACTGATATGAGCATCGCATCGGTGTGAAAGTTTGCGTAATCAGGCTCGTGAAGGAGGTGAACGGGAGAATCCCCGGGCACGGTCGCCGCGCCGAGAGCTTAAATCGTATACGCGCGCGAAATATGGGAAACGAGGGGAAGGAGGTTGAAACGATAACGAATGGAGAAGATGTGCACGAGGGCGGAGATGCGGTGTAAAGACATTAAGCCGATTTCAGGTTTCAGGAACAAGTACACCGATCTCTCTCTCTCTCTCTTCCCTCGACGTGCACACGTTTCACGGTTCCCTCATCGCGGATTAATGTTTCTTTTATTCGTTGAATAATTTAAATGGGCCGTGCATTTATACCTGCGGCCGCTGTTTAAAGCAAACCGAAAGAACTTCAACCGCGATAAAAACAGATTTCAGGTTGAAGTGTATTTCGCGAGTAGTAAGAAATTTTTTTTTTAACTCGGCGCGTCGCGCCGGACAAACGGAACGGTAATTGAAAGAATTTCTATTTACGGAGCACAGCCGCGCGTTCCCTTATTAATTTGAAACTGCTCGGTTCGTACGCTCCAACATCCAAGCTTGCTCTGCAACTTATCGCGTGCAAATGAAACAAGTTCTCACTCGGAGACAAACAGACAACCTCGGGCATTAAGCACTTCCCAGAAACCACAAATTCTGTTTTAGTGCCGCGAACTCGCAGGAAACATTAAAACTTGCAAGTTAATGCTTATTTGAGCGACTCCGGAGCAAACGATTCTTCTCTCTCCCTCTTTTCTCTCTTTTCTCTTCTTTCTTTTTTTTCTCTACTCGAGCGCGAAGAGCGTTTTATTTTAAATGTCACGTTTATGGTTACGTTGACAACACGCTGCGCCGTCGTTTCTTTCAATGTTTAACCATTTGTCTGTTTTGTGCGTCACGTGTGACGTGCAGAACGAACTCGTACGCTTATACATCATACGCGACGTACAGTGGTACCGATTCTTGCGGAACTAGACAGGCAAAGATTAACCGGTGATCGATTCGTATCACCTCTAGCGGAAAACATGTCTCGTTTTGACAGAACATACCAGAGTGATAATGAGATTAAAGGAATAACGTACAAAAAAAAAAAAGAAAGAGAAATGCTTATTGTTCAAATGTATTGTCAACTGTATTGAAATGTTTTGAAACATTAATAAATTAAACGGAGGTATCAGATACGTCCAACCGGAAAACATAACGGAGATATATTACGATTATAAAAATGGCGAGTGCAAACAGAGCGTATGCGACAAAGAAGGATTTATTTTCGGGTTCATCGCACGACGAACGCCAAATCTTCTATTGCTTCTGCACAATGAATGATAAATGCAAGTGGATTAACAAAGGATATTTATTCAAAGTTGTATTTTTTAGAGTTGAAGATACGATCAACTGTTCCTGTTTACTAAAAATTGTGATCCTAATTTTTAGCAAAGGTTGTAATTCATATTAGAATTGACAAAATTTTATTTTGTAGAGAGAGAAAATTATCCCCATTGCAATATTGTTTTACCTTAAAATCTTAAACAAAAATACAAAGTTTTAAGAAAAATTGTGTTCAGACGGGTACAAGCTTTAGGAAGAACATTATATTGGAGTTTTTAGGAAAAGTACATGTTTCCTTTTTTTTTTTTTTCGTAGAAAACATACTCTCATTATCTTTTATTGCACGTGTCTGGCATTTGGGAGCTGTGCGATAAAGAGTTGAGCCCAAGTTGGAAATATTCAAATGCTAAAAATTAAAATGCATTTTATCCGACGATATCTCGAGAATAAAAAGTCATCGATACTGAAAAAAAAAAAGATTTTTTAAAATGGAAGCTTCGAAGTTTTCAGAAAACCAAATTTGTAAATAAAGTGTCTCAATAAATAATAACAATATAAATTCACGCTAATTTTAATCAACTTAATTTTTGATCAAACAATTTTGATCATTGAAAAACATTTTTCAATATCTTCATGTACTATGTACTATAAAAATAAAATGAATGATTTATTTTGAAAATAGAGGCTTTAAGCGAGTCCAGATTGATTGCTGTACAATTTCGCCGAAATTGTGACAGTTTAAATAACAATTTTTCGAACATCGGAAATTTAGCGCTCGAACACTTTTATGCGCGATATTTATTTCAGATATATTAACATCAGAAAATAAACGTTATACATTAAAATTTAATTGATTGAAATCCGTTGAAATCAATTGAAATTTATATTTTATATACATATATTTTATTAACATGTGATAGTCTCGAGAACCAAACTTATCTTTATACTTCGATTTCTCAATTTCATTACACAAGTAAATTCTCAACTCTTAAAAATTCATCACTTGCTTCCGCGAGTTCGTCTGCTACAAGAAACTGGCACAAACAATTACAAATTATTTTGAAAGTATTTTGCAAAATAGATAATTACAAAGTGAATTTGAGAAATAATGTTGGCGTCATCGCCTTCTCTAATTTATAGCTCGTTTAATGAAGACATTCGAAATTACATCGTCGTGGATCAACGTCAAAATTACATGAACTTCGTTTCATCTGATTCGTTGTTGGCGCGAGTCAAAACACGTGTGTAAATATTAAACGTTATAATATTAATTATTCTATTGCAAAATCACATCTTTCTTTGCAGCGCAAGTCGCAAGTGACAATCGATTTACCGATTAATCTGTTGAAACCTTTGGAAGGAACGTCATCGGTTAGGTGGGATTACCTTAATCTCTTGTCCACCTCCTGAATGGAGATCAGTGCAGTTTTTGTGCGGTTTCCACGCATTGACAGCATGTTCGCGCCATAATTATCGAGTTTCCTTTTCGTTAATATTTAATACAGAGTTTGCAATAATTAATATATATATATATATAGAGAGAGAGAGAGATAATACAATTTTTAAGGAATATTTCCTGAAAGGATATACTTTATATACTTTATGTATATACTTTATGTGAAGGAAAATCCAAAATCTCGCCTCTCGGTTGTATTTTTAAACGAACTTGTAAAATTTGTAAAAGCTTCTTGCATTCGTCGAGAATGTTCATGGAAATTTGCATGTAATCCAGAAAGTTGTGTAAATTTGTAATGGAATCTAAACTCGAAATATCCATTAAGCTGCATTTGAATCCTTGCACGTTTCTCAATTAAGAATTCCAGTTCTTTAATGTATAATTTAATGTTATCGTATGCAAGCGTGTGCTAAATACCAACGGTGTAAATTGCCAATTTTCTGAGAAAATTCGTACTGAGAAGCTGCAGTAAAAGTCGTGTTCTGTTCTTTTGGTTCCTGCCCTTGCATTCTGAATATTTTCGCCGAACGAAAGGTCGTTAAATGACATTGGCAAATAGTTAAACGAATTAATGAATTCATTATTCATGAATTTATTCTTTCAGGAAATTTAATTCATGAAATTAAATTAATGATTTTTTTACATAAAAGAGCAATACCTCGAGCTAAATACAAATATTAACTATCTAGTTATTTATCACAAATTATATAGGTTATATAAAAGTGTTTCAAATCGTAAAAAAGCTGCAGAGGTAATAAAGAAAGAGCGGATTTATGAAAATACTCACCGACTCGATAACATTACAGAAACATTTGCAAAATCATTAAATATTTTCAGCATTACTATCAGATCGGACAAAAATTATAAAATCTGAAACATTTTTCAATGAATGAAAATTGACTAATTAAATGAATAGATCAGTTATGAATTCTCTTTGCTGCAATGTTTGAGAAATCGTGTCTTTGAGATAGAATATATAGGTCCAGAGATCCTTAGTTGGGCGTATAAATATTTGATCGTTAAATATTCAATTTTAGGAGAATATTAAAATTGTTACAACGTTGTGAAAAAAAACATCGTGCAACAATTTACTTGGATTCATTTTAATGCGTTTTATAATTTTGGATTCGTTTTTTTTAAGGATGCTTTTTCATCATGTGACAGTAGGAACAAGTATTGTTTTTCTTGAATATACTACAAGTTCGAAGTTTTCTAAAAACATTCACAACTTTTTTTCGCAATTGTAATTATTAGGGACTGAAGATTGGAGCCTTCTCGTTATAGTAATATTTAAAAATTCTATGTACGAGTTTTTTTTATCGCCGTTTTCTTAAATTTTGAACATTAGGCTCGAAGGACAAAAATTCAAGAAAATCCAATACTTTGTCACTTAAGCCTAATATTCAAATTTCGATAAAATGGCGGTAAAAAATCGTACATCAAAGTTTTAAAAAATACAAAGGGAAGAATTGAGTCTTTAGGTCATAGAAGAATTTCTTAATGTTTTTAGAAATATTCGAGTTCATAACATTTTCGAGAAAAAGAATGTCTTCGTTCTTCCACTTGCTGCATGATGAAAAACCATCTTTGAAAAAATAAAATAATTAATCCAGAACTAGATCACGCTTTAAAATGGGACCAAGTGGATTGCTGCACAATTTACAACATTTTAAGATTTAAGATCCGAATACTTATGGAAGTAGTTGTCACGATTGATCGCCAAAAAAATTTATCGGTTTTAAACGAACGAAGAAGTAAAACAAGTAGAGGGAGCTATTAATCTCAAGTTGATGAAGCTACGGTTGATTTTCCCGACTTGGAGAACTTCTCGAATTCGTCTTTCGTCGATACCACCGTAATTAAAGAGACTAGTTCTCCGGTGAAAACAAAATGCACCACCGGATCGAAGACGAAAACTCTTCCGTTCCGAGACTTCTCGTTACGTACCGCTCCACTTTTTTCTTTATTTCCCCATTGATATATTTAATCCTATCTTTCTTATTTCTTCTATCTATCTTTCTTATCCCTTATGTTTCTTTTTAATACAAGACCAATGCGATCTTTATTCTTTAGCAAAAATGCGTCATTAATTGAGGCCAACGTTATTATTTATTGTTAGTTCTTAGATTGCAACCGAGAAAATGATTTTGCTAATGAAATCATTAGAATCTGTAGAATACGATCTCTATAGTATCATATAATATTGGTTCTAAAGTAGCATAAAAACAGAAATTGAAATTAATAAGTTATTTTTGAAGAAAAGGCTGTTCAAACATATATTTCGTATAAAAAAAATATCTGCTTTTGTGGA